CCCTTCCCCCCACTACGTAGACAAGGCCGACACCGCCATTTTGTATCGTGCCTTAATCACATTGCTTGGATTTTTGACCACCTTGTACATCCGTCAATTGGAATGGATTGAGCTTTCCATAGCGTCCTTGGGAGATGTCAATCACGCTCGGTATTTAAATGGTTAAATGACCGCTGTGCGATAATCTTCACACAGCGATATGGTATAGGTGTGATCTCAAATTCTAGATCGACCGTTCGGTTGCCACAGATATACGAGTGAGCTTGGTGAAATCCTAACATCGGTTATCGAATTACTTGGAGGGTATGGCATCAATAAAAGGTTCAGTCCCGAAAAATATATTGAGATGTCCGATTTGATACCACAAAGTTTATTGAGACATATTTGTCGCGGTGTTGAATTTATTCAAATATTTTGATAGATCTCAATAATCTGGATATAATTGCACCCTTAGATATAGTAATAATATGAAAATTGCAACATTTCGGGTGACCCCCAGTTTTGCGATAATCAGCATAAAAATTGCAGAGATTTCGACACTTTATTAACAAGGTAGTATCTTAAAGTGTAATTCGTTGAAGGTTATCCTGCAGTGAATAGGCAAGGTAACATTATGGGTACTTATTTGGCTGCTCAACAAAAAGAGTTGCAGCTACTTTAACAATCACATTTCGACTTCTCTATAGAGCAGGAGTTCCCCCATAAGGTATAAGAGATTTTTGCTGCGCGGTCCTTCAGATCACCCTGGGGTGAACTGCGAGTACTTTGACTCAGTTTGAACTCCTTACAGGACCCGCACCCCTTATAACACTATGGGGCTTTTCGTCTTGTAGAGCCTCCGGACGGCACCGGCCATTCATTAGTTGTTGCTCGTCTACATTATTAGCCTAAGATGACCAAAGCTTTCACGCTACGCGTGACGGCTACTCCCATTTGAGCGATGTCGAATGGGATGCGGTTGAACGAATGGGTTCGACCATGGGCATCCATGCTGTTAGCGTCATGCTAGAGGCTCTCAATAGAGATGCCCAACATGCTACTATCGCCAAGTTCATTCAAAATGAACTTGACGCTGAACGCGAGAAAGTAGCCTTGCTTCACCAACAAGGTTCTCAACAAGCAGAGTTGTTGAGAGAACAGGGTGATCAACAGTTTGAACTGTTGAGACAGCAGCAGGCTGCTGCTGGTGGGTCGATGCACTCGCGTCGACCCGAGACTTTGAAGATTGACATCTCTAAGTATAGGGGAGTCGAAGAGGACTCCCTCTTGACATGGTTCGTCGAATTGGATGACGCCATAAGGGCGCGTCGCATCGACGACGGGGATATGCAAGTTGCATTTGCCCAGTCAAATCTGGCAGGACGTGCCAAGACTTGGGCTGTGAGGCTTAAGTTGCACGACCCATACGTGTTTGGATCGTTAAAAGACTTCAAGTCGCGGATCAGACAAACGTTTGAACCGCCTGGAGCTGAGTTCAGAGCTCGAACCGAACTCTTGAAGCTTAGACAGGGTAAGCGTGATGTGCACGCTTACGCGCAACATATACGACATCTTACGAGTTGTATAAGTTCCAACCCGGTTGATGAACACACGTTGGTTTCGGTGTTCATGCAGGGTCTTGCGGATGGTCCCGTCAAGACTCACCTGTTCCGACTTGAACTAGATTCACTAGAACAAGCCATTTCCATTGCGGAACAGGAAGACTTCAGTCTGAGACAGGCTCGCGCCAGCTCGACATCGTATCGTCAACCGAGACGATATGACAGCGGAGGTCCAGAGCCGATGGAACTCTGTTATGTAGAGAGCGAGAAGGCTCGCTCTACAGACTACAAGAAGTTGCAGAAATGCAACAGATGTCAAAAGACAGGACACTACGCTTACGAGTGTAGTGCCCCTCGTCCAGTGTCTCTCAACACTGGACATAGTGACCTTCCACCCATGAGAAAGGGGCAGGGACGTGGGTCCGCAGTTGGTGCAAAGACGCAACAACGGGATGGACCGTCAAAAAACGGACAGGATCAGTAGGTGCGGAGCACCCTACTGGTCCAGCAACGTCAAGAGAATTTGTAGGCCTCTTGATGAAGGTTGCTCCCAACACAAAAACGTTGTGCGTTGCTGCTCTAGGTAATGAGATCTCACTCATTACCTTGAAACTCGAAGTAACAAATAAGTTGTCCCTTCGAGCTCTAGCCGATTGTGGGGCGTCCAACAATTTTGTGCGACGCCAAGCGCTGGAAGATGGTCACTTCAGGTTTGTTGAATGTGACACACCCCCTACGAGGATGACGGTACGTCTTGCGACAGGCGCATCCGTAACCGTCATGAAGCGTATAGTGAAGATCCACTATACGTTAGAAGATACCCAATATGACGATGACTTTATCGTATTGGATTTGGATGACAAATGTTATGTCATCCTTGGAATACCGTGGCTCAGAAGGTACGAACTACGAGTAAACTGGCAACATCGAACAGTAACGATGCCTGCCGCTTGTTCATCAGACGGCCATCTGATGAACGTTTTGGAGCGTCCACAAGCGTGTGAATGTACTACGAGTGAGTGCGATGGCCTCACTTGTGGTACGGTCGTTAGTACGACTGCACAAAACCTTAGTGTAGCAAACGGTTACACTTCGGAGCAAAGTTCCGGCGGCTGTGAGGAAACACAGGCTGCGCCGAAGGTCCACCACTCGAATAAGTCGGGTGGACTGGGACAAAGATGTATCCCTAGCGGGGAACATCTAGAAGAGAAACAATCGATCGTCAGGTTAAGCGAAACGATAATCCTAGATCGACTGGAGAGTCTTTCGTAGAGGATCTGGCTGTGGTTGCGCAACCCCAGCTAGAGGAAGTCAAGGGAATAAGTCCCAAGATTACAAATACGGCGGAAATAAGTTCCCCGAAACCCGCGGGAATAAGTCCCCGGGAAGTCGAAGGAATAAGTCCTTCGAGGCCTGAGGGAATAAGTCCCCAGGAAATGACAGAGACATTAAATGTCATAGTCAATAACGGATCAAGTGTAGGCGCTTGTACACTTGATCTGATTGCGCCTCCGAAGTTGACTTTGGAGATCACTCAGTTGCCAACTCTCGAACATAAAAGGTTCTTGCGTGATCTGCGTAGTGGCAAAGTCAAGCAGATCTGCGTACTCGTCGCTGACGACGAGTGTGTAGCCGACATAAGGTCAGCAACAGTGTTCACTGAGAACGAGAGAGTTCTCAGTAGTTCATCTATGGACGAGAGTGTCCTAGATGAAAAGACACGAGTTGAGCGATATGACTCCCAATCGTGGGAATCGCTCAAGACAAATCCTCTCTATGAAGATTTGGTTGAATTCAAGGATGTATTCCCTGAAACTGTTCCGTGCGAATTACCGAAGGATAAAGGTATTCGACACGAGGTCGAGCTTAAACCAGGCTCGAAGTACTGTGTCATGAAACAGTGGCCACTGCCTCGTGAACGAGTACTTGCGATCGACAAGTTCTTTGCCGATCGTTTAGCTGCGGGCCATGTGAGGGAATCAACTTCCCCACATAGCTCTCCGACCTTCTGTGTGCAAAAAGCAACAGGAGGGTGGCGGATAGTGCATGCATTTAACAAGTTGAATGCTGCAACGGTACCGGCTCGGACGCCGATACCAAGGAAGGACGTAATCATTGATGGCATGTCAAAGAGTACCATCTTTTCGTCCATGGATTTGATGGATGGCTTCTATCAAATCCTCATGCGAGAACGGGATATACCCTATACCGCAGTTAGCACGCCTAGCGGCATGCTCTGGGAATGGCTAGTAATGCCACAAGGGCTTAGTAATGCCCCTGCCACGTTCAACAGATGTGTATCACATCTGTTGAGACCAGTACGAGAACTCGCGCCGAGTTATTTCGATGACGTATTCATCCATAGTCGAGCTATGGATGGAAAGTCGGATGTTGAGGTTCACAGACACCACGTCCGACAGGTTCTTACAATCATGCAAAAGCATCAATTGTATCCAAACCTCAAGAAGTGTATATTTGCAGCAAGCGAAATACCACTTCTTGGGTGCATCGTTGGTAAGAACGGTGTGCGTCCTGATCCCGAAAGATCAAGGCGATCACCGACCGGCCTGTGCCAGTTGATGTCAAAGGTCTTCGAAAATTCCTTGGGCTAGCGGCGTATTTGCACAAGTATTCACGCAATTACGCCGAGATGACTATGCACCTCTCTCGTTTGTTGAAAAGGAACGAGAGGTGGTTATGGAACGCTGAATGTCAGCGCTCCTTTGATGGTATCAAGCAGAGCTTGATCCAATCCTCAGTCCTAGCAATAGCCTATCAGGACAGGCCATTTCATGTGGTCTGTGATGCCAGCGATTTCGCAATCGGCTGTGCATTAATGCAGTACGATCTTGAAGGCGTTGAACGCGTCGTCTGCTATCAGTCGCGTCAGCTGCAACCAGCTGAGCGGAACTATCCAGTGCATGACAAGGAACTCCTTGCCATGAAGTATGCACTCGCGAAGTTCAGAGTCTATCTATTAGGAGATAGACCCTTCATTGTTTACACTGACCATGCGTCATTGCGCACGGCAGTGAACAGCCCACACCTTTCACAACGAATTGCGCGGTGGTTGTCATTCTTTGCGGAATACAACTTTACGGTCGAGTACAAACCAGGACGACTAATGTCGTCGCTGATGCACTCTCACGTCGTCCCGACTTTGAACCAGTCGTGAAACCCAACAGTGAGACAGTCACTGTTGCAGTTATGACGTCCGCAGTCCCATCTACAACGTTGTATGATGATGTGAGGCGGGCATACGCCCAAGATGGTGAGATTGTGAAGTTGTTGACCCATCTCTCACAGCCATCTCGAGAATCGTTGAAACGATTGTCGCCTGCGTATCGATCTGCATCCGATCGATACACTACTCGCAACGGTTTACTGTATTATACAGCCGTTTCTGGTAACACACCACGTGTTGTCATTCCAGATGACACTGATTTGCGTTTGCGGATCATGTTCGAGTATCACGATGCTCCTATAGGAGGACATCGTGGCCGAGAGAAAACATATCTCACGGTGAGTCGAGACTTTTACTGGCCCCGCCAGTATCAGTTTGTGCGAAAGTATGTTCGCGCATGCAAAGTCTACCAACGAGTGAAGTCAAGTCCTTCACTGCGTGCACCTTTACAGCCTCTACCGGTTCCGGCTGAGTGCTGGGAATCCATCTCAATGGATTTTGTCTTCGGGTTACCCAAAGACGCACGCGGGAATACGGGTATTCTCGTATTCGTTGACAGATTCAGCAAAATGGTACACCTTGTGGCTGTACCAGAGACAATCACGGCAAGTGGCTGTGCTTGTGTCTTTATTGACACCATCTTCCGACTTCATGGGTTTCCCCGTGAACTCGTATCAGACAGAGATCCACGATTCACTGCTGATTTCTGGCGTTCCGTGTTCAAATCACTCGGAACGCGCTTGAAGATGTCGACATCTGATCATCCAGAGTCAGATGGTCAGACGGAACGTGCCAATCGTGTCCTTGAAGAGATACTTCGAGAATACGTACACTCCTTTAAGAGTTGGAGTGATTTTTTGCCAATGGTAGAGTTTGCCATTAACAACTCGGTGCATGCGTCCACGACACATACACCGTTTTACGTGAATGGCTTGCGCCGTCCGCGTGTACCCACCTTACTAGAGTGTAACTCTGGTTTAAGGGGGGGAGGGACTCGCGCGAGCAAAAACCGAATTGGTTCACGCTCATCACGCTCTGACGAAGAGGTCATTGCGTTTGATGCCGATATCGATAACATCGATATTGAAGAAGATGATCCCAGTGAGAGTGCGGAAGCCCTCACTGAAGAAGATGATGCCAGTGAGAGTGCGGAAGCCCTCACTGAAGAAAAGGTTGATGTTGCTGCAGTGCGCTCACAGCGCACTGAAGCTAACGAGTCATCAGATGAGTTCATACTGGCTCGTGGAACGGTAGTCCGTTTTGTGCAAGATTCCATCGCCGAAGCGGTGGATAAGCAAAAGCAAAACGCTGACAAGAATGGAAGGGCAAACACTCTTTTTTTTTAATAAAGGTGACTTAGTCCTACTGTCTACAATTAATCTACCAAAGCATGTAGTGACTAACTTGGGTAGCAGTAAACTACTACCCAAGTACATCGGCCCATGTTGTGTATTGCACCGCCTAGGCAATGCATACACGATCGAGTTGCCACGTAAGATGCGAACGCATCCCACGTTTTACGATGGTCGGCTTAAGCCTTACCATCAGTACGCTGCTTCTTCCGATGAAGAACGCCCTTGCGCACAAGCATCTTGCAGAGAGCATTGTGCTCCCGATGGTGGGCATCAACAAGGGTCTGAAGAGCAGCTACCACATCCCGAGACCGATCAGCAATCCCACGAGCTACCCTTAGCTCGTCACGAGGAGATGTCAGAGATCTCTCGTTCTCAAGCTGAGCAAAGGCAAACTCAGCTCGATGCTTCGAGGCAGTGTCCGACATTGGAGACGTCTATTCCGCTAATGTTCGAGATCGTCGCGTAACCCTTGCGTTACGCGATCAAAGAAGCTCTCGGGAACACACCGATCCACATGATCGTGTGGAGAGCGTCTTCCCTCCTCCTCCACCTCCATTAGAGGACTCTCGCGGTGGCCAGCGCTATCTAGTTGAGCAGCTGTTGAACCACCGCGACGTGAACGGACGTCGGACGAGTTTTCTCGTCCGGTGGCGCGGCTATCCCCCGTCCTGGGATACTTGGGAGCCCCGCTCCCAACTGATGATCGACGTACTGGGTCTGGTCGAGCAGTACGATGCGGCACATCCTGTGCCGCAGAAGGACCGCCGGAGAAAGTCTTCCCGGCACGGTCGTAAAGGGATTTCAAGTTGTCTTCGTACATCTCACTAGAGATACGTGCGCGCCACCACGGGCTGGTAAGGAGGTAAGCCTCCTTAGGTGCGCGCGCAGAGTTGTCCACACAACATGGGCATGAGTCTCCCCAGGAGAGGCAGGGTAATCCTTTCTTCCTCGACAGACAATGCAGATTGTAGCGTGCACCTGTCAGGGTTCGCTTTTCAAACTTATCACGAGCTTTGATAAGTTTGTCGTTCCAAGCGTCACGACCTACATCCTCAAGGTTATGGATGTAGGCGTTCCACGCTTGAAGTAGTGAGGGACCATCACGTTTGTGATTCCCACTGTACCATCGATGTCTAAACAAAGCATCGATGAAAAAATCATTCTCAGCGCGATAGTTTTTCGCGCTGGGGTCAAGGTGATGGATCCTTGATGTAACGGGGTGAATCGTTACATAACAATTTGTAAGAAATTGTTAATAGAATATAACTATAAGAGTTATATTCACAGAATATTGTCGTAAGGACAAATATTCTGTAGCACTTACGAGTAGTTCCTAATTGGTTGATATAGGCCATTATATCAACCAACGAAGACGCGCCACGACAGACGCACGCAATGAGTGGTGAGCAGATAACTGATTTACACATTTGTATTTAGACATAGCTAGATGAAGATAAATAGTGATTTATTGCAGACATTAACTATACAAAATACAGTTCTACTTTTTACTTTAACCAAGTACTCGCTTCTCCTTACCGTCTTCCTCTGCACGTACGAGTGTACGTGAAGTTACGAGGCACCGCCTTATTCTGTCATCAGAATAAGTAGCTTGTACTGTCACCAGTACAAGCTTCAGGGTGCCCCGTTACACCTGGTAGCACTTCGTTGTCCGTCCAAGGACCGCGTTCACATCTAACATGAATATGTTGGATGATGAAGATGACCAAAGCTTTCACGCTACGCGTGATGGCTACTCCCATTTGAGCGATGTCGAATGGGATGCGGTTGAACGAATGGGTTCGACCATGGGCATCCATGCTGTTAGCGTCATGCTAGAGGCTCTCAATAGAGATGCCCAACATGCTACTATCGCCAAGTTCATTCAAAATGAACTTGACGCTGAACGCGAGAAAGTAGCCTTGCTTCACCAACAAGGTTCTCAACAAGCAGAGTTGTTGAGAGAACAGGGTGATCAACAGTTTGAACTGTTGAGACAGCAGCAGGCTGCTGCTGGTGGGTCGATGCACTCGCGTCGACCCGAGACTTTGAAGATTGACATCTCTAAGTATAGGGGAGTCGAAGAGGACTCCCTCTTGACATGGTTCGTCGAATTGGATGACGCCATAAGGGCGCGTCGCATCGACGACGGGGATATGCAAGTTGCATTTGCCCAGTCAAATCTGGCAGGACATGCCAAGACTTGGGCTGTGAGGCTTAAGTTGCACGACCCATACGTGTTTGGATCGTTAAAAGACTTCAAGTCGCGGATCAGACAAACGTTTGAACCGCCTGGAGCTGAGTTCAGAGCTCGAACCGAACTCTTGAAGCCTAGACAGGGTAAGCGTGATGTGCACGCTTACGCGCAACATATACGACATCTTACGAGTTGTATAAGTTCCAACCCGGTTGATGAACACACGTTGGTTTCGGTGTTCATGCAGGGTCTTGCGGATGGTCCCGTCAAGACTCACCTGTTCCGACTTGAACTAGATTCACTAGAACAAGCCATTTCCATTGCGGAACAGGAAGACTTCAGTCTGAGACAGGCTCGCGCCAGCTCGACATCGTATCGTCAACCAAGACGATGGGACAGCGGAGGTCCAGAGCCGATGGAACTCTGTTATGTAGAGAGCGAGAAGGCTCGCTCTACAGACTACAAGAAGTTGCAGAAATGCAACAGATGTCAAAAGACAGGACACTACGCTTACGAGTGTAGTGCCCCTCGTCCAGTGTCTCTCAACACTGGACATAGTGACCTTCCACCCATGAGAAAGGGGCAGGGACGTGGGTCCGCAGTTGGTGCAAAGACGCAACAACGGGATGGACCGTAAAAAAACGGACAGGATCAGTAGGTGCGGAGCACCCTACTGGTCCAGCAACGTCAAGAGAATTTGTAGGCCTCTTGATGAAGGTTGCTCCCAACACAAAAACGTTGTGCGTTGCTGCTCTAGGTAATGAGATCTCACTCATTACCTTGAAACTCGAAGCGACAAATAAGTTGTCCCTTCGAGCTCTAGTCGATTGTGGGGCGTCCAACAATTTTGTGCAACGCCAACCGCTAGAAGATGGTCACTTCAGGTTTGTTGAATGTGACACACCCCCTACGAGGATGACGGTACGTCTTGCGACAGGCGCATCCGTAACCGTCATGAAGCGTATAGTGAAGATCCACTATACGTTAGAAGATACCCAATATGACGATGACTTTATCGTATTGGATTTGGATGACAAATTTTATGTCATCCTTGGAATACCGTGGCTCAGAAGGTACGAACTACGAGTAAACTGGCAACATCGAACAGTAACGATGCCTGCCGCTTGTTCATCAGATGGCCATCTGATGAACGTTTTGGAGCGTCCACAAGCGTGTGAATGTACTACGAGTGAGTGCGATGGCCTCACTTGTGGTACGGTCGTTAGTACGACTGCACAAAACCTTAGTGTACCAAACGGTTACACTTCGGAGCAAAGTTCCGGCGGCTTTGAGGAAACACAGGCTGCACCGAAGGTCCACCACTCGAATAAGTCGGGTGGACTGGGACAAAGATGTATCCCTAGTGGGGAACATCTAGAAGAAAAACCATCGATCGCTCAGGTTAAGCAAAACGATAATCCTAGATCGACTGGAGAGTCTTTCGTAGAGGATCTCGCTGTGGTTGCGCAACCACAGCTAGAGGAAGTAAAGGGAATAAGTCCCAAGATTACAAATACGGCGGAAATAAGTTCCCCGAAACCCGCGGGAATAAGTCCCCGGGAAGTCGAAGGAATAAGTCCTTCGAGGCCTGAGGGAATAAGTCCCCAGGAAATGACAGAGACATTAAATGTCATATTCAATAACGGATCAAGTGTAGGCGCTTGTACACTTGATCTGATTGCGCCTCCGAAGTTGACTTTGGAGATCACTCAGTTGCCAACTCTCGAACATAAAAGGTTCTTGCGTGATCTGCGTAGTGGCAAAGTCAAGCAGATCTGCGTACTCGTCGCTGACGACGAGTGTGTAGCCGACATAAGGTCAGCAACAGTGTTCACTGAGAACGAGAGAGTTCTCAGTAGTTCATCTATGGACGAGAGTGTCCTAGAAGAAAAGACACGAGTTGAGCGATATGACTCCCAATCGTGGGAATCGCTCAAGACAAATCCTCTCTATGAAGATTTGGTTGAATTCAAGGATGTATTCCCTGAAACTGTTCCGTGCGAATTACCGAAGGATAAAGGTATTCGACACGAGGTCGAGCTTAAACCAGGCTCGAAGTACTGTGTCATGAAGCAGTGGCCACTGCCTCGTGAACAAGTACTTGCGATCGACAAGTTCTTTGCCGATCGTTTAGCAGCGGGCCATGTGAGGGAATCAACTTCTCCACATAGCTCTCCGACCTTCTGTGTGCGAAAAGCAACAGGAGGGTGGCGGATAGTGCATGCGTTCAACAAATAGAACGCTGCAACGGTACCGGCTCAGACGCCGATACCGAGGAAGGACGTAATCATTGATGGTATGTCAAAGAGTACCATCTTTTCGTCCATGGATTTGATGGATGGCTTCTATCAAATCCTTATGCGAGAACGGGATATACCCTATACCGCAGTTAGCACGCCTAGCGGCATGCTCTGGGAGTGGCTAGTGATGCCACAAGGGCTCAGTAATGCCCCTGCCACTTTCAACAGATGTGTATCACATCTGTTGAGACCAGTACGAGAATTCGCGCCGAGTTATTTCGATGACGTATTCATCCACAGCCGAGCTATGGATGGAAAGTCGGACGTTGAGGTTCACAGACACCACGTCCGACAGGTTCTTACAATCACGCAAAAGCATCAATTGTATCCAAACCTCAAGAAGTGTATATTTGCAGCAAGCGAAATACCACTTCTTGGGTGCATCGTTGGTAAGAACGGAGTACGTTTTGATCCCGAAAGATCAAGGCGATCACCGACTGCCTGTGCCAGTTGATGTCAAAAGTCTTCGAAAATTCCTTGGGCTAGCGGCGTATTTGCACAAGTATTCACGCAATTACGCCGAGATGACTGTGCACCTCTCTCGTTTGTTGAAAAAGAACGAGAGGTGGTTATGGAACGCTGAATGTCAGCGCTCCTTTGAGGGTATCAAGCAGAGCTTGATACAATCCCCAGTCCTAGCAATAGCCGATCAGGACAGGCCATTTCATGTGGTCTGTGATGCCAGCGATTTCGCAATCGGCTGTGCATTAATGCAGTACGATCTTGAAGGCGTTGAACGCGTCGTCTGCTATCAGTCGCGTCAGCTGCAACCAGCTGAGCGGAACTGTCCAGTGCATGACAAGGAACTCCTTGCCATGAAGTATGCACTCGCGAAGTTCAGAGTCTATCTATTAGGAGATAGACCCTTCATTGTTTACACTGACCATGCGTCATTGCGCACGGCAGTGAACAGCCCGCACCTTTCACAACGAATTGCGCGGTGGTTGTCATTTTTTGCGGAATACAACTTTACGGTCGAGTACAAACCAGGACGACTAATGTCGTCGCTGAAGCACTCTCACGTCGTCCCGACTTTGAAACAGTCGCGAAACCCAACAGTGAGACAGTCACTGTTGCGGTTATGACGTCCTCAGTCCCATCTACAACGTTGTATGATGATGTGAGGCGGGCATACGCCCAATATGGTGAGATTGTGAAGTTGTTGACCCATCTCTCACAGCCATCTCGAGAATCGTTGAAACGATTGTCGCCTGCGTATCGATCTGCATCCGATCGATACACTACTCGCAACGGTTTACTGTATTATACAGCCGTTTCTGGTAACACACCACGTGTTGTCATTCCAGATGATACTGATTTGCGTTT